TTTCCTTGAGGGAAACCATAGGGGTCCATACTATGATGTCTCCATGGGAGGTATTTATTAGTACTTGAGGGTTCTCACTCTTACATTGTTGTCAGTATACCCAGTCAGATTCTTGTTCATAATCTATACCTCCAGAATGGTAGATTTATGAGACTAGCAGCATTAATCTCTTGCCCCCTAAAGCCAGATGCATGAAACATATAAAACTTATCATGACAGTCCTGGACAGTATTAGCTATAGATAATAAACACACTTAAACAGTTATATTTACACATTGAATTTCATTCCCCATACAAATAGGAATTCTTTGTACTCCACAATATAATTTATGATTTCCTTACCCTCCATAGGCTTAGTAGGTCCTTGGTTGTCATAAGGACTAGATAGCCAAGAAGATTCACTAACTGCCACAGGTGTATTCATATCTCCCCAACTTACTCCCGTGTAATTGGAGGAACATAGGTCCAATATGTATAGTTTGCTTCTGTTACTTGTACAGTTACCACAGATAGCATAGCAAGGAACAGGTTTGTAGCATTCGAAGGTTTTATTAAATATATCCATATGTAACTTCTCATCTCTAGCAGAAACAAAAGCATACTCTCAGCCCCATTGTTAACTCTTTCCCTGGTTTCCATTCTGATGTTAAAGCATCCTTATAACACACAGGCTGACTCAATTCAGCAATTTTGTCCACAATCCAGTGCCTTTCAGTAGGTATTGTCTCTGTTTCATTAGCATTTAAAATTTTAAAGTTAATAAAGCACTATGTAATCTATCCCTGGGGGATTTCTCATGTCCCCCTTTTGTTTTAAAAGCTTTTCTTTTAGAGTACTTTTAACAGTTAGAGTTCTTTTAACAGTTGCTTGTTTTGTAGGATTATACAGTATCCAGGTAATGTATTTTATGTGTAACATGCACAAAATTGTTTCATTTTAATGGAAACATAAGCTGGGGCATTATCACTTTTAATTTGTATTGGTATGCCCCTTATAGCCATTGCCTCTAATTAATGTGTAATTATAGAATCAGCTTTTTTTTTTAGAATTTAAAGCAGATGTCCATTGAAATCTAGATTATGTATCAGTGGTATGATGAATAAATTTTAATTTTCCAGATTCTGCTAAATGAAATACGTCTATTTGCCAAATTTCATTTCTTTGTGTACTTTTAGCATTACTTCCTGTAGGTAAAGGAACTTGATTATACAAAGAACAAGCAGGCAGTTTTTTATAATTTCCTTAGCTTGTTGCCAGATAATAGAAAATATTTTTTAAGCCTTTACTATCAGCATAATGTTTCTTATGAAATTCTTCCAACACATTTTCTATCAGTAACTGACCAATTTCTTAATTTCCTTTTGTTAGTGGCCAGGCAATCCAGTGTGAAACCACATATGAGTGATACGTAGTGTATAATTTCTGTCCCAGATTGCTTGTTGCAGTTGCATGAACAGCAAAGTTAATTCTGAGTTATCAGGAGTAAGTTCATCAGTTTCCATATGCAATCCAACCCTTCTGCATATTCAGAATCAATAATTATATTCAGATATTCATTAAAACCTAATAAAACTATTAGAATGGTATATCACTCTGATTTTTGAACTGAAGCATATGGACTTTGAATTACTTTACTTACGTTTCCTGCTTTGTACCCAGACATTCCTAATTGATTTGCATCGATATAAAATGTAAGCCCCACCCCCAAGTGCTTTTGTCAGCATGCAGGGAAGAATCCATTCAGTTTTTTTGTAAATTGAAGTTGTGTCCTTTTTGGATATTTGTTATTAGTATTTCCTAAGCAAGCTCTTTGCCAGTCATCAGACATTACCCACAATTGCATAATTTCAGCATTAGCATAGGCTACTACAATCTCAGCTGGCTTTATTTCTGACAATAGTTGACGTCTTATACTTCATCTATAAGTAATTCAGAAACCTTTTCTATATAGATTTTAAACTTTTTTCTCTGTTTGTGAACTAGGTAAATCCATTCTAAAAATATCCTTTCTTTGTATAATTTGTCCAGTAGGGGAATGGGCAGAAGGTAAAACAACTAAAATACATGCAGTTGTGAGATCTTATCTCTCTACATAGGCATTTTGTAATTCTTGTTCTACTTGGACCAGTTTCTTTCCTGCTTCAGCTATTAATTACCTTAGACTGTTAAAGTCTGAGTCACCTTGCAAAATCTGAAACAAATTACTTAATTCTTGAGTAGTCAGTCCAATGGTAAGCTGCAACTAGTTAATATCACCCAATAATTTTTGAAAATCATTCACAGTATACAATTGATATATATATATTAATATATATATATATATATCAACATATATATATTTGGCTTTTTTGAGACAGGGTTTCTCTGTGGCTTTGGAGGCTGCCTTGGAACTAGCTCTTGTAGACCAGGCTGGTCTCAAACTCACTGAGATCTGCTTGCCTCTGCCTCCTGAGTACTGGGATTAAAGGCATGCGCCACCGGCGCCCGGCTACAATTGATATTTTTTAATCTGTACCTTTTGTGGCTGGATTCTCTGTTTATTTAATCTTAAATATAATTATCTTAAATAACCAAGAGCATTTCCTCTTAGTATTTTTTTTTTCAGGAGAAATTTGTAATCCCCAAAAGGCTCAAATTTCTTGTACTACATTAAATTTTTTCAGGAGAAATTTGTAATCCCCAAAAGGCTCAAATTTCTTGTACTTCATTTTCCCTTCTTTCTAAGTTATCTGTATCAGAAGCAGCCAATAAAATATCCATGTAATGGTAAATAATAGATTGAGGAAATTGTTTATGAGCCATTTCCAGTAGTTGATGCACAAAGTTGGATTGATTTCTTAAGGAAGGACCTTCTATTGATATCTTTTTATAGGCTAGACATTATTATAAGTAGGCAGTGTAAAAGCAAAATTTTCTATCTTATTCTTGTAAAGGGATAGTAAACTATCTTGCAAATCAATTACTATAATAGGCTAACCTATAGGTAATAAAGAAGGTAAAAGAATTCTAGACTGTAAGGATCTCATAGGTTGAATTATTTATTTATAGCTCTCAAATCAATTTACATTCTCCATTTTCCAGATTTCTTTTTTATTACAAATACTAGTAGTTTCCTCAAATGTGTTTAGCATCTAACTTTTTAAACTAGTTTTTCAAGTGCCTGTAATTTTTCTTTAGTCAAGGGCTCCTGCTCTACCGATACAGGCTTATTACTTAGACATTTTAAAGGCAGAACAGTTGGGTTACTGCAGTGACCCTTACTCCAAATTTGAATAGCCAATTCCTATTTTGTCCTGCTGTTGGACAACCTCGATAGCCTATGATTTTCTTTGATAATTCTTTCTAATACCTTTCCCAGGAACATATCCCATTTTAAACATTTTATAAGCTGTTTCTTAAATTGTGGGAATACTAATTTGAGTGCCCATTGTTGTAATACATCATTACCCATAAATTCATGGTTATCCCAGCCACACATGACTTTAATATCCCTACTTGTCCTTCACGTCCTAGACATTTAATCCACTCTATGTTTTGTTTCACTTGAGATAATGTTCAAATGCCTGAAAACTAAGTGGAGACTTCTTGTAAAGACCAGTTGGGATTCCAAGATTTTTGAGAAATTATAGATACATCAGCTTCACTGTAGACTAAAATTTTTAATCTCAGTGTCTTTTACTTGTAATTTAGCTTTCGGCTGTCATCATTAATAACAGTTTGCCAAAATATTTTCTTTCCAGTACTTCAAAAACTCATAACCTATATATTGGAGCTGTTTTACCTTTAAAATGTGGGAGTAATAACAATTGAGCAAGTCTGTCATCAGCTTTTGTCTGCATAGCTATTTTTATATGACATGAATAAAAGCAATATCTATAGGATTTTAAGAGGTAACTTTAGGCAATACCCATGGGGGTATTTTTATAAAATCTTAAAAAGAGAATTTATTTTTATAGGTCCCAAGTAACATGTTAATGAAACTCATCAATTATTAAAAGTATGGAACAAGCAATTTACCTGTATTTTATTTAGTGGAAAAATAATTTTTATAGTCTCTTTATCAGTACGAGATTGTTTTTATGAGCCTTTGTCATAGCAGCCATAGTATTGAATAAGTTAACAACCCTCTCTGTTTCAGGTGTTTCATTTTTATATAGAGTTTAACCAAAAATTCCCAGAAAGAAAGTAATAATAAGCAGACAAGAGCATACCCAATAATATAGTTCAAAATCATGGACTTTCCTCTTTTGCTCACTTACTATGAAAATTAAACTCATTTAAACATTAATCAGATGATCAAGAAAAGAGAACATCCTCCATACAGTGAATGTCCAGTACCTCTGGAAATTCAACCAACATTAGCTTAGCACTTTGTGCCCCAACTGCTATTGTCTTTACTAGAAGTTGGGCTTGTTTTAATTTTTTTTCTCCCTTGAAAGAACCATTGATAATGTGTTATTCCCATTATTAGGTAAATAATAATAATAATAATAAAACATTTCTAATGAAGGAACCTTTAATATTGAGTTATTTCCATACTGATGGGAAAACAAAAATGCATTTAAACCAAAATTAAGCAAACAAAGAAAATTCTAAAGTTCTGGGCAGGCTGTGCTAGCTCAGGCTGCAGCCATGGGCCATTCATCATTCTTTGAAATTCAGGTGCAGACACTGTAGTGGCGGGCTCTTGGCTGACAGAGCAGACAGGTAGCATCCAGTCAGAGAGCTCAGAGTTCTGCTGTCTCCAGTTTTCTTTCTTTTATTGGAAAGAACCTTTTTCCTCCCCCCTCCACTGGGAGGAGGCCTTCTTCTTTCCTTTATGTTTTTGTTTATATGGCCTTTTCATTTTTTAGATTTTTGAGTCAACATTTTCCCTTGTACCGGGAAAAATCCCCTTTTCTTGTTTAAAATCTTCCCTTTTCCATCAGAAAATTTTCATTTTATGACTTTTTTTTTTTTTTTTTTTTTTTTTTTTTTTTTTTTTTGCTGAGAATGGCCTTTTTCCTTGATTTATTCTTTATCACTGGATCCACTCAATTTTTATCTTTAATATTTGCAGTAATTTTGCAGTTAATGCTTTTTCTGTAACAAGCGTTTTAGCAACTGTCAGTTTGTTGCTCCTGAGATAGGGAATTTAAACTCCTCATGACCCTGTCCAGAGCCTGAAGTTCTTTGAGCATCCATATCCACCCTTTTTTTCAAGCCTTGCAGTGTGGGCACCCGGAAGTAGAGTCCAGTGTTCAGTTTTATATCGGTTTGTGGAAGAAAAAGAATCACTCAAGGATGAGTTTTGGCTTTTGCCATAGGCAGGGGGGCAGCTCCAGGTGAACTGACTTCTTGTTGCTTCTTAAAGGGCTTTTTTTATTGTTATACCATTTACACATTGGAAGTCAATTTCCACATCTTATCTGAAGCTCTTCAAAGCAGACAAATGCCAAAGCAATTTTTAGTCACAGAATCTTTCAGTTTTCCGAGTTCTTCTACAACCAAGTTTTGCATAGGCCTTGATTTATTGCCAGACTTTCTTTGGACCACCAGCTTCCAAATAATGATAAGAAGACTTCTTATTAATTATGACAGCTTGGACTTAGTTTAGACTTGTTCCCAGCTAGCTCTTAAAACTCAAGTTAATCCGTTTCTATTAATCTATGTTTTGCTACGTGGCTTGTTACCTTTCCTCCATACTGTACATCTGACTTATGCATCTTGCTTAGTGAATCTCCACCTCTGTGATTCTGTCCTAGAGTTCCTGTCTCTGCCCAGAAGTCCCGCCTGTCCTCTCCTGCCTAACTGTGGGCTATTCAGCTCTTTATTAAACAAATGAGAAGTTGCCCTGGCAGAGACATGTCTTCACAGCATTGAATCTTTTAGGAAGAACTCAGATAAGATTTACACACTTCAAACAAAAGGTAGCTAACACAAAAGGTGACTATCACAAAAGAGAGACCAGTGCCCAAGGGCTGCCATGATCTGCAGGAACTCTGGCTATATCTATCCATTTCCTAGCAATAGCTCTTTACTACTCAGATATCTCTTCTGCCTTGTTGTTTATTTATGATCAACATTTACATTGCTATGGATTCATCTGTCCATTTCTAAGCATTTAATCATGCATTCCCATTTAATAAGATCTTACTAATGCTGCATTTTAAACTGGGGTACTTCAGGTTTCTAGAAAATGAATACAAAACTGCATAAATCTTCTAGGAACTTCAGTAAAAAAAATCTCTGAGTTCTTTCTTTTTTTGTTTGATTGATTTTTGCAGATGGCAGTCTTAATATGTGCCTTTTGCTGTCCTGAGCTTCTTTGCTTAGACCATGCTGACATTCAGCTTAATGAGATATACCTTCTTCTGCCTCCCTGGTGTTGGGATTAAAGGCATGACCCATTACACCCAGCTTGTCCATCTTTTTTTGTAGTTAGTAATTGTTCATGCAATGTCTCTGGTGTGTACTCACTACTGTTGATTTGTTTGCTTGTCTCTCTTTAAGTCTGTTAGCATTTCTCTTAGAAGGCTGTATCCTATTCAAGGAGTTGAATGTGAACCTTCTATTCAGTTTCCTTCTAAAGTGGCTTGTGATTACAGGCAGAATTCTGTGTTATGGAATAAGTGTGGGAAGCACCAGAATGATAGGAATATATTGTCAAAGACGTATGCATTTACAGTGCTGTTTGTATCACACTTTCTGTTGTACACATGTATGGGGAAATTTAGAGTGCAGTGACCTATGATGATGTGCATGTCAACTTCACTCGGGAAGAGTGGGCTTTGCTGGATACTTCTCAGAAGAATCTCTACAAAGATGTGATGCTGGAGACCTACAGGAACCTCACTGCTGTAGGTAAGATTGTGAATTTTATTTCACTTTTTAAAATGAGGGAGCAACTACTTCTTGGTTATTGATGCTCTTCTGCATTTTGATTGAGAAAGAAGAAGAATGAAGTAAATAAATCAAGTAGAGTTCTAAGTTCACTGAAGATAATAACTTAAATTTTAAGTAATTTCATATATATTACGTTTTCTGGTTCTATATTTTAGGCTACAGTTTGGGAGACCATAATATTGAAGAATATTGTCCAACTTCTAGAAGACATGAAAGGTAATTTTCATGTGCAAATGGATAGAAGTGTGACTCTTAAGAAATTTTAATGTGAACTGGAAGTTTTAAGGTAAAGCAACAGTGTAAATAAGCACAGCCTTACGTGTAGTGATGATTATTAAATTCTCGTAAAGCTATGTACCTCAATGTCAGGGAACCGATTTGTATTTGAAAAACATTCTTATATGAAAGAAGATGAGGAAAAAAAAATGCCTTAGCAAATATCACCTTTTGAATCATTTCCCCATGACAGCTATGCTGTAATGTGCCAGTCCATTTAATTTCATACCACTCAAATATTCCAATGGTATACCTGATGAATAAGTGATAAGTTTATGTCTAAAATCTTCTAATAAGTAAATAGTTCATGATAAAGTTGATGTTACTCATATGCTTGTTGGTACTTTGCAAAGTTTATGAGACTCAAGAAGATTGTTGTGGAGAAACCTTAACCTCTATACCACAGGCCTATGAGGAACCAAAAGACGTATGGTGTGAATGCAATGTGGAAACCTTTTATTGGCTATTCTTCCTTCACTAGGTAGTTCATATGTCACTCAATACAAGCCATGTGAGCATGGAAAGAAGCAACATACCCCTCCGTCTCTCAGAATAGTATGTAGTAGTCCCCACTTTGAGTAGACTTGTTGAATGTGATAGAAGTTTACAATTCATTGTTTTTTCCAACTTCATTAGGAATACACCAACAAACTAACACTGTTGAAAAGCCCTATGAGTATTAGAAATGTAGAAATTCTTCTCTTTGTTGTAGTTTACTATGCAAATGTAGTATGATTCACACTATTGAAAAACTTATGAATGCAGTCAGTGTGATAAAGCTCTGAGTTTTTCCAGTTCTCTTCAAGTGTGTGAAAAAAACATACAGAGGATGTGGTAAATGTGAGCCATGTGGCTCTTACCATCACAGGCATCTTCAGAGATGAGCAGCAACCCTAAATGAAGGGGAATATTGTGAGTGAAAGCTAAGTGATAAAATCTTAAACCTGATTTGTGTTTACAATAAGACCAAATTGTAGAATTAATTTATTCAGGTAAAAAGATTCATGTGTGTGGTGTACTTGTTAAAGCTTTGATATGTGCCAATTATCTTTGCAGGCATGAAAGAAATACTGGAGTGAAACCCGGTGAATATACTCAAAGTGATAAAGCCTTTGCATATGATGGTGGTCTTCAAAGACATGAAAGAATTCCTACTGGAGAGAAACGCAATCAATGTAGTCAGTGTGGTAAAGCCTTTGCACATCACAGTTATCTCCGAATACATAAAAGAACACATACTGGAGAGAAACCCTGCGAGTGTAAGCAATGTGGTAAAGCCTTTGCACATCTCAGTAGTCTCCGAAGACATAAAATAACACATACTGGAGAGAAACCCTACAGATGTAATCAGTGTGATAAAGCCTTTTCACAACCCACTAGTCTCCAAATACATATCAGAACACATACTGGAGAGAAACCGTATGTATGTTATCAATGTGGTAAAGCCTTTTCACAACACAATAGTCTCCGAGTTCATAAAAGAACACACACAGGAGAGAAACCCTACAAATGTAATGAATGTGGTGAAGGCTTTGCACGCCACAGTCACCTTCAAAGGCATGAAAGACTCCATACTGGAGAGAAACCCTATGAATGTCTTCAACATGATGACGCCTATGCACATTTCTATACTCTTCAGCATCATGAAAAAATTCATACTGGAGAAAAACCTTATGAATGCACTCAGTGTGGTAAAACCTTTGCACATAACAGACATCTTCGGATGCATAAAAGAACACATTCTGAAGAGAAAGCCTGCAAATGTAATCAGTGTGGTAAAGCCTTTGCACATAAGAGTTATCTCCGAATGCATAAAAGAATACATTCTGGAGAGAAACCTTATGAATGCAGTGAATGTGGTAAAACCTTTGCATATCATAGTTATCTCCGAATACATAAAAGAACGCATACTGGAGAGAAACCCTACGAATGTAATCAATGTGGTAAAGCCTTTGCACGTCACACTAGTCTCCAAATACATAAAAAAACACATACTGGGGAGAAACCATATGCATGTAATCAGTGTGATAAAACCTTTGCACATCACAATTATCTCCGAATACATGAAAGAACACATACTGGAGAGAAACCCTATGAATGTACTCAATGTGGTAAAACCTTTGCACATCACAGTAGCCTTCAAATACATAAAAGAACACATGCGACAGGAAACCCTGTGAATACAAGCACTGTGGTTAAACCTTTGCATGTAACAGTAGTCTTCGAAGTCTTGAGACAAAATCATACTGGAGAGAATCCCTAAACAAGTAGTCAGTAAAGTGGTAAAGTCTTTGCACTTCATGGTAGTTTTCATAAAAGAGAAAAAGCTTTAGCTTGTAATCAATCTGTGGACAAAAGCCCTATGAATTTAAACAATAAGATAACCCTTTTAGATTTCACACTTCAATAAGATGAAATAGCTCATGTAGGTGTAAAACCTGGGTGTGATTGTTCTGCACCCTTCAAGTCTTCCACTCTTGCCTTTTTTTGGCAATTACATGTAGCTGTCAGTGACAGCACTCTGCAGGCTCCCACTTGGTGGTCTCCACATGAGCATTAGCTCTTCTGTCCCCACCTGGTCATCCCTGTAACCTGCCTGTCTGGTAGGAATAAGGATATTCTAAAGAGACATTTATATCTCTCCCATTGGCTGGTGAAATAGTACACCCCATGAAATTCTGATTTCCCGGGAATCTCATTCTGGGCAAAGACTGAGTCCTTCAGAAGAAAACTTCTCTGCTGAAGAAACATTTACTCCTTATCTGAATACCCTGTTCCAGAGAAAGCTGAGAATTGGGAGGGATTTGGGCATGAGAAAAATTTATTTTATGGCTTTATGAGCTTTCTCAGTTGTGCATATCTCTTGCCTTCTAACTAAGGATGGATTGATTACCTTATATCTTCATAACTGTTCCAAATTAGTCATACTGAATAAATATCATGTTTTAATTTTAATTAGTTTTCTTTTTTCTTGTTTATTTTATTTTATTTTTATATTGACAGATAGCCTCAATGTGATTCCCTGTCTGCCCTGGAACTTGCTCTATAGACTAGGCTGTCCTAGGATATCAGAGAGACCTGCCTACATTGCCTCCAGAGCGACTGCGTTATAGATGGGCACATCACAACTTGATAACTTAGTTCTTTTAATTGGCTTAATAAGGATGAGTGGCTGAGCCTAGATGGCTAGGGTAGCCAGGACACAGGTCCTAACTCCAGTAACAGAAGAAGGCTCCCATCAAACACAGCCTTCCTACCTTAAAGTCCATTGTCTTCCAACTCTGAGCAGTATTGTTTGTCTTTATCATTGAGTCTGTTACAATTCATCAAGGGACTGGGGCAGAATTCTGTCCTTATTCTACAGATGGTGAAACCCAGGCTCACAGATGTTAAGTGCTTTCTGAATATACTTAAGTGTAACTGCTCATCTTACTCATCCTGTCATTCTAATGACTCACTAAATGAAGTTGAAGTTACCTAAGTAGGCATGGGTGGCACAGTCCTGTAACCATGGTACATAGAAAGTGGAGGTAGGAAGCCAGGCAGTGGCGGCGCACGCCTTTAATCCCAGCATTTAGGAGGCAGAGGCAGGCGGATCTCTGTGAATTCGTGTCCAGCTTGGGTGGTGGTGCATACCTTTAATTCCAGGATTTGGGAGGCAGAGTCAGGCCTGGGTTACAAAGTGAGTTCCAGGATAGCCACGACTATTGCACAGAGAAACACTGTCTTGAAAAAAAAAAAAAAACTGGAAGAAAGGAAGAAGGAGAGAAAGAAAGGAAAGGAAGAAAAAGAGGAGGTGGGAATTTCAGGATTTCAAAGTCATTTAAGTTGAAAATAGTCAATGGCGCATGGTGGGAAGTCCAAAGAACTAAGGGAGACCAAGATTGGCTCTGGCTAGTATCCATAGTCTTCCCTGCAGCTCCTTCAGGGCCATGACACAAGCAAGTGTTAACTGAGGTATATACAACGCAGATTTCCTAATTTTGAAAATGTTTCCTGTCCAAGGCAGCCTAGGTCACTTCATGGTCAGACTCCTGTTTCTCATTAAACACTGGAATTTTTCTCCAAGTGAGAATTAACCTGAGGCAGGGATGAGCTCCCTAATTGCATATCCAAAGCAATATGTTGAGCCCTGAAACCATTTATACACAACCAACAGAAATGGACTCAGAAGTTTTTATTCATGTATTAAGTTGTACAAACTTAGTCACACTGCTTAACAAGGATGAAATTGGAAGGGAAGAATTTGGGAAGGGATGGAGAGAGAACAAGGAAGGAGGAAAATGATGTAATATATTTTAAAGTGTATAAGAATACGTTTTTAATTAAAAAAAAAAGGTGGCTAGAGAGACAGCCTATCAGTTAGAGCCATGGGTGTTGTTATGAAGGCCACAGGTTCCATTCCCAGAAACCACCTGGTTGCTAACAATCTCCGGTAACCCCAGTCCTAAGTGATCTCATTCCTTCTTCTGGCCTCTGCAGGTACTGTGCATAAACACTTGTCGACAAACACATGTATACAAAACACAAAAACAAAGCTTAAAAAAGGAGTTCCTTACAGAGATGTCACAGCTCAGAGACAGAGCAGGCAGAGCTAGTTAAAATGAACTTCTGTTACTGCATGAAAGCACCTGGGGCCTTTTGCTGAGCATAAGAGGAATGCAAAAATCTATTCTAGTCTGGCTCTTCTTAGCATTAGCCAGAAGCTCAGTGTTGTTAAAGATATTTTTGTTTATTAATCTTTTTAGAGTGGACTGATTTCTACCTGAGGAGGCATGTTAATTCTGGAACAAGTAACTACTTCCAGTGCTTTAGAAAAACGTTTCTGAGACCTGCTCTCTGAGGCAGCCTCAATCCCCTCTGTTACTCTCCAGGGCCATGACCTTACTGTCCTCTTGATTAAAGCAACTAAATTATTAAAGAGCTGTAACACCACTGAGTTTTAAAATTACTCATTTGAGTCATGTAGTAAACTGTCCATTGCAGCACCTGGAAAATATTTTTATGAGGGTCATGGTTTTTGCCTTCAGAGCAGAATAGGAGGAATTGTTTATTGTATACCCCACAGTGGGAAACAGGGTAAGTAATCAGTTGATGGCGTCACCGTTATGAAAAAGGACCTGATTGTGGCAAGGGGGGGGGGGGGGGAGTGATTTTGAAATTTACCAGCATGTATTTATTCATGTCTTGTGAATGAAGCCAGGCCAGATTGGTGGGTGTACAATTTGGGAAGGCTTGCTTTATCTAATAAATACTGAATTTCCTGCTATGGGGCTTTGGTTTGCAGATATATGTAGTCCACATTGGCATGGTTAAGTCAGCTCAGTTGGTTTAGTAAAAGGCCATTTGCTGGAGCTGTGTGTGCCAAGGTACAAATCATAACAGCTGACATTACACACAGGGGCAAGGTGAAACAGTATCTTAATGCCATTCCTCCCACCAGAGAATGGCCTGTTCTTTTTCAAAGTCAGTAGAGCTATGTGTATTTTCAATTATATTTTTAAGGCAATTATTGTCTTCACTTGTAAAGTTTGGTTTTATTTATATGCATCACTGCTCTAATCTTTTACATGTTTTATTCTCAAACGTTTCCTAATTAATTTCCATTTTCTCAGGTGCTATTGATTATATGTTTAGAGCAGTTTCTGCCATAGCACAGGCTTGTCTCTCACTGTGCAATTGATAATTGATTCGAACATTTAATTCTGCCTCTGCTGCCCAGGGATGGGAATAGTCATGCCACTCCTTGTTTGGGCCTTGACTGGTCTTTGAGAAGGAAAAATAGACTAATGAATGAGTGTCCTCCAACCTCTCTGTTTTTTACTGGGAACTTACAAACGAAGAGAGACCTGTGGAAGAGTTCACTGACCAGCTGTAAAGCAGGTGTAGTCACAGCACAGAAAGGGATGTGCAAGGAGGAGGGTGAAAGCTTTCCTGCTGTGACAGTAGTCGATCTTAGCTATGAGTACTGGGTAATCAATGCTAGAGTGTCCTAACTGGCCACCAGGAAATCAAGAATGTGGGTAGAGAATTGAACTTATCATGAAACCAAGTTACTGTGATTACTTTGGTTCAGCCACAATAGAAGATCTGGGTAAAATGTGTGGCCCTGCCTAACAGGATGGGGTTTTTCAGTTTATGATGTGCAGCCTGAGGGAAAAGCCTTGGGTAGTCCTTGGTGTGCTCTCACTCAAATCCCTAGTCTGGAACACATGGTCATCATTTCCACTGTCTGTTTGAATTGTGGGGCATTTTGATTGCACTCTGTCAACTCTGGAGACTTCCAGTAAAGTTAACCCTTGAATCATATGTTGGAGCCAGCAACTAGCTTACTGGAATCAGCCAGAGAGAAGCCAGAAATTTGGACGGAGAGGATGCACAGGGAGGACAGGGTGAGGAATGGAATTTTAACTTCCTCCTGGTTCTGGGACAAGGAAAGAGATGTGCCTCTTGCAGGGTCTCTGACCAAAAAGAAATATCAGCTAGTTCCTACTCAAGGTCTCTGAGCTACAGTTTTTTTTTACCCCAGCCTTTGAATCCTGAGTTTTATTAGTAAATAGAATTATAAAGTCTTAATTTAAACCTATATATGGCGGCTGCAGCAGAGGCCAGGCCATGAGACCAGAAGCTCCACGAGGCCATGGCTTCAGTGGCCAGTGGGAGGGGCCATGGGGCTGAAGACAATAATTAAAATACCAGTTGATTCATGTGCAGCCTCTAAGCTGGTAGACAAACATCACATGGTGCTCCAATGCATAACATGAACATATGGACAGAGAAATTTTGCCAACTGGTACCACTGCAGCCTCCCCCGGGGCCTCTCTGAGACCTCAGGACTCTAGAACATGGACTCATGGTTGGAAATAATGGGAGGGGCTTGAGCTCTCTGATGATGGTACTGTTGCTGTGGACAAATTGGGAAGTCCTTAAGGAGAGAGTGAATAATATAAAAGCCTGAAGTTCCCTTGCCAAGTGATAGAAAAATCCTAAAACCTTTGCTGATAACATGATGTTTCTTAGGAAATTCTGAGGCTCCTAGCACATGTCCTACTAATAGCTGATCAATTTCATCATTACCTTGTGCTAGAGGGTCTGGTAGACCTGAATGTTATCTGATGTGTATTATATACAAGTGATGATGTCTATTTTTGATTATTTGTTATAGTTGAATAAATAGCAAAATTAATTCAGAATCATTTGGGATAAGTTCAGCAGCTTCAATATGTAAAATAACTTTCAGCATATAAAGAGACAGAAACTATATTAAGAGGTTCTGGAAAATATAGTAATACCATAGAATAGCATATAATTCTGATTTCTTGACAGAATCATAAGGGCTTTGAGCCAGTTTATTTAATTTTACTGACTTATAACCAGCCCTTACTGGTTTATTTGCATGAGTATAGAATGCATTGTCTCCAAAAATTGGTATTCCCTTTACTATAAAGAGGGAATCGTATAGTATCAGTTTTTATAAACTGATGTCTCTTGCTTTTGGGATATTTGCTGCTAATCTTGGGAGCAACAAGGATCTTTTTCTCTTAACAGGCCTTCATTACTAATTTTTTACCCTAAACTGCCTATTCAAATTCTACCTCCAGTTCTTATTCCACCTCCCTTTGAAGAAGTAACCCTAATAGCCATGATGGAATTGGGGCAATGACTAATCTATCTCCTTGCAGCTGAATTTGGGGTATAAGGTGGTATTGAGATATCATTCCAGAGGACCTCTCTTAAAGTCCAAATTCTCAGGTGTAGACAGAAAAGGAATTCCTTTCCTGGTTTCTGGAAAGGATCAAAAAGCCCAAGGACCACAAGGCATTCTTTTATTTTAAATTATATTTTATTGACTTATTTTACACACCAACCACAGTTTCCCTTCCTTTCTCTCCTCCCATTTCCTTCCCCCAAGTCCCTTCTTTTCCCTCATCCACTCCTCTGTCTCCACTCAGAAG